GAAAAAGCAGTGTTTTTACATTTCATTGATTTTCTCGAAAACTATAATACATAGAATTAATCCAGAAGATGCATATGAAAGCTGAATGTTTGGGGAATCTAGCTAGTATCGATATATTACTGTGGTTTTAAACCATATGACCTCTTGGATATGTTGTGTCAAGCCGTTGGCGTTCCATGCTGCTATTTTCAGTTGCTGATTAATTCTTATGAATTGAGAACAAAAACATGCATGAAAATAAATAAAAATCATAATGTATAGACTAAGAGTCATAGTTTTGTTTTTTTTTTCTCTCTCTCATTTATAAATTCCTTTGTTTTACATCTATATCAAATAATAAAAGAAACTGTCAGGATTTCGGGATTTCTGTTGTCGCGATTTTCCATATAAATCCAATTGTTATCTGTTCTCTTTCTTGTTATTTCCACCAGTTCCACCAGACATCGATGACGTTGAGACGAGCGGAGATCTGACGGTTTCCGAAGGAGAAAACGTGACGTTGGTTTGCAAGGCGACGGGACATCCTTCGCCCAGGATCCTGTGGCGACGGGAGGACGGAAACCACATCTTGTACCATCCGAAGCCCTTCGAGAGTGACATAGGTAAGATACCGTAGCCGACCTGAATTTATTGCTTAATCATAGCGAGAGAGGGAGGGCATAAGCCGCAACCGAATTTACGGCCGCTTAATTTTTCACTCGTCGGTGATTTGTGGTCTTGCGTAAAAGAAGAAAAAAAAACTTAATTATTTATGTTATGCTTTTATATTTTACTTTGCTTTTTTTTCACTTTCTTTTTTAATTTATTATCTTTGTGCTACGTAATCTTCAGCTTTGAACTAGATTTGATTCTGGTGCAGCGTGTGGATTTTATGATCAAGTTCTGTGCGGGGTGGGCGTTAATGGGACTTGAATTATTGATGCGGATTTAACTTTGTCCAAATGTGGATTTCATTTGTAACGCGTTTCCTCTCATGATCACCAGACACGTACAGCGGATCCAGCCTGAGCCTGACCAGGCTTAACAGACGGCAGATGGGTGCCTACTTGTGCATAGCCAGCAATGATGTACCACCTGCAGTCAGCAAACGCATCACACTCAACATCAATTGTAAGTAAATTACTTTTTTCCTTTTATATAAATTTCAGTTTTCACAATTAGACAGTTTGTTTTAAAGGACTTTTGTCTTTTGTTTTCTGTCATTTGACAGATGTCACTTTTAGGTTAATTTAAAAGACAATTGCGCGTAGATTTGTTTGCAGCTGTCAATTTGATCAGGATTGCCATAAAGACAATATAGTTGCTGAGGATCTCAAAGATATCCGTGAAGTTGTTCATTACTTAACAGAATGAACGTGTCACTTAGATTATTAAAAGAAATGACTTTCTTGAATTAATTACTAAATAAGGTCGTAAATTGAATCCCATGGACATATGATATCAAATCATCATATCGACGAGAAATAAAATTAGTTTTCAAATTAATAAGTGTCACTTTCTTAAATGAATTACAGAAAAAAAAGGTCGTAAATTGAAACCCATTCGCATTTGGACAGTTGAAATCAATACATTATAATTCACGAAGAATAAAATTATTAAAACAAATGACTTGCTTGAATTAATTACAAAATAAGGTCGTAAATTGAATCTCATGGACATATGATATCCAATCATCATATCGACGAGAAATAAAATTAGTTTTCAAATAAATAAGTGTCACTTTTTTAAATGAATTACAGAAAAAAAGGTCGTAAATTGAAACCCATTCGCATTTGGAATGTTGAAATCAAGTCATTATAATTGCACGTAGATTTGTTTGCAGCTGTCAATTTGATCAGGATTGCCATAAAGACAATATAGTTGCTGAGGATCACAAAGATATCTGTGAAATTGTTCATTACTTAACAGAATGAACGTGTCACTTAATATACATAATAATTAACTTCAGAAAATTTCCAAAAAAAAAATGTAATGATATCAATTTATTTTTAAAGCAAATTACAATAATCTCTTAACACCATTAATAATCTAGTAAATTGTTTCTGAATGACCGAATTGTGTATGTTTCAGATTAATTAACTCTTCAGATTTAACATGAAACTCGTCCGAACTAAACGCTCTAATTATAAGTTTACAAATTTCTCTCACCTGAAAGTTGCTTATTTGTAATACATCTTAGAGTTTAAACTCACAATATTGATTGTGCGCGTATTTTTGTATACATGAAACATTATAAGTTTAATCATTGTATAATTTCTGATCATTTTTATAATAAATTCTTATTTAAATAAATAAACATAATAATATTATCTATATTTTCGTTGACTAAGTATAATTCTATTCAAATTTATTGTAGAAAACAAATGTAGGTTTAGATTATAATTAAATTAAAATTCTTTATTAATTATATCAGAAGCAAAAACGCACAGATCTAAGTTTAGTACTAAACTAAATTTCATTATTTTTTGTGCACCAAATTCACTCAACTAATACTTAACGAATAATGCTCTTCTACCGTACAAATCGAGGCAAACATATGACTTAGAATTAGCAAAAGGCCACAAATGATACCAAGA